TCTGGCAGTGTGCAGCCATTCCCTGTGTCCTGTCCCTCCATCCCTTGTCCCAAATCCCTCTCCAGCTCTCCTGGAGTCCCTTTAAGCTCTGGAAGGGGCTCCAAGCGTTCCCTAGATTCTTCTCTTCTCCAGGCTGGAAACCCCTAACTCTCCCAGGGGAAAGGTGCTCCATCCCTCTAATCCTCATGGCCCTAATGCTTTCCTGCACCTTGGAAAAATCAAAGGACCCCTCTTCCACGATGCCAGTACAGCCATGCCTGTGAAGAAACCAGGAACTCATCCAACTCAAACCAAACAAAATCAGAACAAAACCAAGCAGACCAAACAACTCCATGGAATCACCATCTTTTTGTTAAACTTCCCCTTCCTGGTACTCCCAGCTGTGCATTCCTGTCCTTTGCCCCAGCACAGCAAGCCAAAACAATTCAGGAAAATGCAGGGGGAAATAAAGAGTATTTCTTTTTCCTGAAGCAGGATGAATTGGCTGCTACTTCCATCAGACAAGAAACGTCTCTGGCACAGTCCAGGGTGGCAGGAGCAGGGAAACTGAGGAGGAGGAATTGAGAAGGGTGGTGAGGCAGGGTAACACCTAAGGATGAGCTGGTGACAAAATGTTAATTCAGCTCAGCTACAGCATGAAACTGTACCCCCCTATCTTGGGAAATCTAAGCCCATTTCTCTCCTGAATAAAGCCAAGTGAAACAACTGACTCTGTTCTGCCACCTATGAAATGGGGATGATGGGGATCTATAGCATCTCAGCCTTATTTAATCTAAATACACCTTTACAAACAAAGCTTCAAAAGCACTGACAAGTGTTAAAATAAAAACCCAGAGCCATAAAATCAAACCAAATAACCTCAACCAGAAAAGCGAAGTCCCTGCTCCCTAGACAAACAAATACATTCAACTGATGAATAATTCATTTTTGTTTAGGGCAGAATTTACAGTTATTTTAATTTAATCTTTTGATAAAGCATATACTTAAAAAACAACATTCAATTCCCCCCCTCAGTCTTTAACAGCACTCATGAAAAGTGCCTTAAAATGGATATAAAATCACTGATTCTGCTGCCAATCTTAGTTATTTTTTTGCTTGAAAAAGAAGATAAACCTCTACTCCAATATATGATTAGAAGAGAAATATAAATCACTGGGAGTAAAAAATAATAATAATAATAAAAAATAGACTGACAAGACAACACAGCTTCATTAAAAAAAAAAGAGACAGCCCTACGGGAAATTTTCAATTTCATACTTCTGATGAGAGGAGTTGAAAAGAAGAAGCAAAGCAGAGAAAAGAAAAAAAAAAAAAAAACCACAACACAACATTATCTGTGGACAAGACGTTAACAAAAAAAGAACACAAAAGTGAACCAGAAAGAGGCTTTCAAGTTTAACCTCAGGTTTGCAGAGAAAGGACTCTTGCAGTCTTAGCTCTGCTCCCAAAGGAGGGCAAAGCCACACAACAACATCGACACGCTCAAAACTCAGCATATTCCATGAGCAGGAGGCTCCAGAAGAGAACAGGTCAAGGTTGGCATCAGTAGGACTGCAGTTGTCTGAACCACACCTAGTCTGCAGTTAAATATAGAACTTTACTTTCTCTGGAACCACTGCTCCTCTTAACCTTCACAACATAAATATTCAGGGAGATATCTACAGAAAAATAAAAAGTAACAGGATAAAGAGACCTGAATCTATTGTCCAAAAAATCTCAGACTGGGGATTAATAAACTACCCTGGGAGGATTCCAAAAAAGCAGTGAAGGCTGGAGAATTGAATTACAGAAACCACAAGCAGCATCCTGGAAGTCCAGTATAAACCAATTAGTTCATTTAATACACATACCCTGTACTCAGACCCACAGGTACATCAGACATTTCAGGATATGGCCCTAACTCTAATCTTCATTCTATCAGGTTGGCACCAATATAATAATTAATTGAACTGCAATTTTTTTGTTAAGTTATATCTTTTTTCAAAAAAGAGAAACTACCCCTTCAACCTTCACCCTTTTCTCATTCAGTTCATGGATCACATCCTAACTAGTGCTGTGCATTTTCAACTGGAGAGCCTGCTCCTAAGAAACATCCCTCAAAATTTTGCAATCACAATCAGATTCTTCCCTTGAAGTGCTCTCAGCTGGTTTGACACGTGGACTCTTAGCAACTACAGTTTTTACCAACTGAATCCAAGACAAAAGCAAAAGCAGAGGGCACAATTAAGTGATGAAGCAGGTCAACACCTTCCCTCATCCTCAGCCGAAAAATGTTAAAATGTTTATACAGCATAACAGCAGCATTTCAGAGGGAAGGAGGAGTTTGCAGAGATTCCACTCAGGTCTGGATTCCACCCTCCTATCTTCAGGCATTAAACCAAACCATCAAAGTTAGTTCTAATTGCAGGAGGCAGCCAGAGACGAGGGTGCACAGAGCCCTCCTCTGAGTGCATTAGTAAGATGGAATTGTCTCCTGGATCTCTATTTCTCCTTCCTGGACAGGTATCAGCCCAAATGAATGAGCATTTTCCTGATGTTCCCAGAGCAGCAGCTCCAAGCCAGGTGCCTAAATCCTTGTGTGCACCAGTATCAGAGCTAGAAGCTGCAGGACACACAAACTCAGTGCACTGAAAGTTGCATTTCATTAGGGAAAACAGTCCATTAAACTGAGATGCCTCCACTTACCTGCAAAGGAAAATGCAAATTACCAGACAAATGGCACCTGCCCACAGGCAATGCCAAACACCATTTTAGTGGCCAAATGCTTATTCCTGACCCTGGGACACCAGGGAAACCTGATCTGCTTGGGCCAGAGGGGTCTGGTTACCTTCATCCTGCTGCTGTTATGAGTCAGATATTGGCCAAGCCTAGAAAACTCCAGTGCCCTGTAAGTGAAATTAGTGATTTTTTTCCAAGGGCTCCCAGAAGAGCGTTTTTCTCCCACTCTTTCAAAATCTGTCACATAAAACAGCTCATCCTTACAGCTCAACGAGGCCTATTAAAGCACAGCAGTTAAACAACCATATTCCCATTGCTTTATGGTGTAGCTTTATGGCCACACAACACTTTTACTGTGTTCTTGCCTCAAGTAAAACTCCTCAGCTTTGCCTCCCAGTTCCCCACACAAGGCTGTGAAACCCAGTACCCATAGTGACCTAGCCAAGAGCTTGGCAAATGAATATTAAAAGCCAGGATTAAGGCAATGTGGCAGCAGCAGAATAAGGAGAAAACCCTGGCAGCAAAGACGTTACAGAGAACAAGACACAGAGAACAAAACCAAGAAAAACACAGAAGAATTTAATGAAAAATTAGATGGAGTGATTATGTATTTGCATTCACAACTGGATGATTTCCAGTGTCAAGACCAACTTGTTTCTTTCAATATCCAAACCCAAATCTCACACCTTTCTAAGAGATGCACTAAAACACCACAGTTTTAATTTCTAGAGTGTCCCAGCAGATACCAGCTCGAGGAGAGAGGTGGATGAGGAAAGGGTGGCTTGCTTTCTATCAGCAGTTTCCCCAGCAAAAGAGTCTGAGCCACAATCAGGGTTCAAACAGCAAATAACAGCAGTTAATGCTGTTTGGGCACTTTGGGCCAGACAGAAACCAGGAAGAAAACCAGCTATGCCCTAAGCATTTCACACTCACAGGGTTGATCCGGAGATGGGGCTGCCCTGAAGGCACACAGAGCTGTGGTGGTTCTGTCCTTCTGCACATACAATCAGGACAGTCAGACAAGCATTTCAAAGTGCTAAAGATCCTGTCCTGCCCCCTGTTCTGCCTCTGTGGAGGGGGACACTAGAAAAACACACTATCAAATCACAGGGCATTGCATTAGCTGGGTCTAACAAAGCAGAACAGATTTCAAACATTTACATTATTTCCTTTGGGGAAACATCCAGCAAAGACAAAAACATCAATGCCAGATAAAGTATCAGTGCCAGGCCAGAATAGGGAAACAAACATTTAAGTTACTGGTTCCAGTCCTGCAAAGACACAGAAGTGTGTCCAGCCTGTGTTCCTGAGGGAGCTCAGGATTTCAGCCTTAGCTCAGGCAAATGATGCTCTCCTGCTCCTAATCAATTCCCAAGACCCCTGTGCAAGCAAGAGGAAAGGGAAGCATTAAAGAAATGGTAAAAACACATCCTACAAATCTGCTGGCTGAGATCTCACTGGGGTTGCAGATCTGGGAGGAGTGTAATACACACAGTCATCCAGTCCTTCCATGCGAAGGAGGCTCCTCACGCCCTCAGAGGCTAAAAAACTCCTCCCAGCCATTTAGCCCTGGACAGAAATAAACATTCATCCCTAAACTACATCCCAAGTTCCCCAGTCCTTCTCTACTGTACAGCATTATCCATAAAAGAGACATTCCTGTAAGCAGAGGGAAAAGCAAAGCACGCCCAGGCTCAGAGAGGAGAGCTGGGAGCTCTTACGTTCACCTGCCACTCTGCATATGGATTTGAAAGATCCACTTTGCTCTGGGCTGCTCCCAGCTCCTGTAAGAGGGTTCTAAGAGCCTTTTTGGACCAGGAATCTACTGCTTGTGAGGCAAAGTTCTACATCCCAAACAATTACAGCGCTGCCGAAATGCCGGTATCCACTTTAGGACACCGTGAGGCATCAGGGGGACAAGTCAGGAAAGTGGAAAGGAGAAATGCAGAATGCAAAGAGCTTGCAAGACCCTCCCAAGAGAGCCTGGATCAGGATAAGTGGAAAAGTTTCTACAAAAGCAAAGAGCTGAACACCAACAGCTCAGACTGAGCTAAGGACATGATGTACAAAAATAAAGAGATCCTGTCCAGAGCAGTTTTACAATTTTTTAAACAACACAAGATGCAAAACAGCTCCTCCTACTCCATCACCACAAATCCAATTCTTACAGGCTTTGCACGATGCTACAACACATCCACAAAAACAACCAGAGCAGGGAAAAGAACCCTTGTCTTGGCTTTAGAACTCCCATCTTCAAACCCCCTCAGAGAGCCACCACATACCTCTCCATAACAGCCAGGCACTCCTTTCTCCACGTGAACCGACTGCCTCGCCGTAGTCTGAAGGTCCCAGAGGTAGCTGTGACTGGGGGAGGCGTCTGTCTCCATTCTGGCTCTTCTATTGGGATGGGAGCGGGTCTCATGCTTAGTGTAGCCCCTGAGGACAATAAACACTGTGTTTCCCAGAGGGTTAAAAGTCAGGCCCATCCTCTCACTCCTGCTCGTGGGAAAAAAAAGGACAAGACAGGTGATGAAACCATTCAAACTGAAAAAAATTATGAAGTATTATCAAAGACACCCCTGAAGACACACAAAGCCAGCTAGAATTCCTATTTCCCAACCTTCAGGGCAGAAGGAAATCCAAGGAGCTGATGGGCACTTAGGAAAATCTGTCTTGTCTTCATCAAGAGGAAAAGGATCACACAGAAAGGGTGAGCTGTGCCCCAGCTTCATTTAGGTTGTGCTGCCACCTGAGCTGTCACAAAGTAGGAAACATCAGTTTCTATTTAATTATACAGCAGTCTCAGGCAGCAAAATGGAAATTTACACCAAAGGTATTTCAGAACCTTTCTCCAGTCTGAAGAGCTGAGGAAATACCTGAAGCAGCTCCACCAACAGAAACACACACTGTGGCTTGGGCAAACATGGGCTCACGAGTGCCAGAGTGTCTGAAAAAGTCACTGAAAGCAAATTAACATCACAGCCTTCCTCTCCTACTCCCCTTCTATGGATGTATTTCTCCTTTCCATGAGCCTGAGCTGGAAATAATAAGACACAAGACAGGATTTGGCAAGATGCCTTCAGGAAAGGCCCCTTTGAAACTTACCCCTGATCCTTTCCACAACAGCCTCTCAGTTAATAAATCAAGATAAATCAAGACACTCTGGGAGATCGATCTGTCCTACATCCCTTGGTGAGGATGGGAACCTGGGATAGGACACGAGGACAGAAACCTGCTCTGAAGGACAGCTTTGTGCTCTGTGACTTCCCCTGCAGGGAAGACAGAGCTGTTCTATACAAAAAGAAAAAAAAAAGGAAAAAAAAAGGTTGTATGAAAAGATAAATCACCACCTATATCCCATAAGCATCCTGAGCTCTGGTGGAATTCCTGCACTGAGCCAGCCTGGGCAGATCCAGGAGAAGGGATCACACACAACCCTGTGTGCTCACAGGGCTGGGCACACTCAAGAGCAGGGCTGTGACAGCAAACCCCTCTGGGTGCTCAGGCTCACTCAGAATGGTTAGGATTAAATCATCAAACCACACAGTGTTAGTGCAACAACACTGCTCCTCTAATACACAGAGGAGTGAAAGGGTCAAGGGAACCCGAGAGTTTAACCAATAAACAAATTCCTACAGCTAAAAAGCAAGAAATGAGCTGTTTAGGCACTTGGCTGTGTTCCTTTCCAGAAATGCACACAGAGCCTTTCCCTTCCTGCCAGGGGTTTGCATCTGTGTTAGGTACTGGGGCCCAAAATAATTTACAAATGTTCCCCAGGAGGAGTCAGTAGGAAGTGAAGCCCACAATCTCTGCCTTGCACACACAAGGCACGGTGCCTCTCCCTAATTCCCAGCTAACGAGCCTACACAGATTACTTGGTTCCATTGAAACATGAAATATTTCCTATAGTGCCAATTTACTGGGAGGCCATTTCAAGGAGAGCTCCTTATCTAGTCTTTCTGCTGCTTGCACAGTTTAGGGGGCTGGGTGGGTATCAAATTGCCAGGCTTTAAATACACTTCAAAAACTTTTAAAAAATTAAATAAAATTTTAAAAAGAGACAGGGGAGAACAGGAAAAGAAATTAGCTTTCCCTGTATTGTGTTAGCAATATACATTCCCCACCTGAAGATTTGATTTCACAGGGAGAGTACAGGGGTATCAGTGATGCCTCACATTAGCCAAGAAATGCAGAATCCTTCCATTAAATTTGCCTGAGATTTTTCAGACAAAGGTTGAAAAAAAATCTGCATTGAAAGCATAAATTTTCTGATGATGCTACAGGTATGTTCACGTACTGAATATAATACACTTTTTTTGTTTTAGTAGCCTTCCTAGATCAATTTAGCCATTTCTCTTTTCTGTGGGGTAACATCAATATCAGCAGCAGATAAAAGAGGAATATGCTGAGAATTACAAGCAAGTACCCCCACACAGCAAGAGAGAAGGATCTGAATGCATAAAGAGGCCCAAAATGGGCTTGGGTGAACGTGTGGAAAAAGGGGAACATGGGATGGTCTGAGCTCCTTGCAGTGCCTAAAGGGGCTCCAGGAGAGGGACCTGGGACAAGGGATGGAGGGACAGGACATGGGAATGGCTTCCCACTGCCAGAGGGCAGGGATGGATGGGAATTTGGGAAGGAATTGTTCCCTGTGAGGATGGGGAGGCCCTGGCACAGGTTTCCCAGAGAAGCTGTGGCTGCCCCTGGATCCCTGAAGTGTCCAAGGCCAGGTTGGGTGGGGCTTGGAGCAACCTGGGATAATGGAAGGTGTCCCTGCCCATGGCAGGGGGCCATAATGAGATAACTTCAAACCCAAATTTATCATTTATGACATGCACATTTGATAACAAACCTATGGAGCTTTTCCTCATCCCCCTCTCTTCAATGAGCTCCCGTTTATTCTGCTGTTCCAACATTCCATCACAACATCCTCGCCACCCAGCTCCACTTCTTTATAACTTAGCAAGTTACAACCTAGTCACCAGTTCAGATTCTTTTTTTAAACCCCTCAAACAGCTTTTAAGGAGAAGTGAAACTTCTCTCCTGAGCAGACAGAGCGGAGAAGATGCAGTACAAGGTTTTCAGTGGATGCATCAAACAGCAAGACACCTCTGAGGGGTGCAGAGGTGAACTGCCTGGGAAGAGCTCCTTTCACACACAGAAATGAAAGGAGACAGCTCTCACTCCCTGCCAGTGCTCAGCACCTTTTCCTACAGCACAGGCTTTTCTCTGTGAATTCTTTGTGTGACTGAGGATGCTGCTGGCGGGTTTGGGGGAGAAGAGGCAGGGGAGGTGCTCTCCAACTGGCATGCAGCTCTCTCCATGCTCAAAATTCCTCCTGGCCAAGGCTTGCACATCCCAGACCCTGTCCTGAAGGAAGGGAGCTGCTCTAAGAGCATCCCATGCATTCACTGCTCCCCATCCCTGGGCACAGGCAGGCCCTGCCAGCGAATGGTGACGGAAAGCCTCAGGTGTCTCCCACATCCAAAAAACCATCTCCTGGCAAATTTTCATTTGCAGCAAGTACCTGCTGTACATTATCCTGATAAGAACAGATGCCTCACTGTATTTTTAGCCAGGCTGACCCCAGATCACACAATAAACACCTCTTGGTCAGAGTGATCCATGCTGGATTGAAATCAGCAGCACGAGGTTCCCTACAGAGCCCAGGGCAGGGAGGAGAAGGAGCTGTTTGCCCTGCAGCCCTGCGGAACAGCACATCACCAACCATCCCTTCTCCCAGTGCAAACCTCGTGGGACAGCCAGCCCCTGAATTTGGGTTGGCTTTTCTTTCACAGCTGAACAAGACCGCTCTGAAAAAACAAAAGAGATGCTACATCCTGATAATAACTCCCTTTAGTTTTCCCTTTTGTTCAAGGAAGAAGTGCCAATGGTTCTCTCCAAGGTGATCACAGCTGCCTTCCTATTAGAGAAGAGTGGCAGAAATAAATACCCAGCCTAAATGGAAGCAGTCTGTATCCATCTGTAACTTTAACACATCATTTTGAGGTGCCAGCTTCAGTTTGCACTACGCAGAGGCAAGAGACAAGCTGAAGTTACTCCATAACAAACTTCCCACATTGCCCAACACCCAGTGCCAGGGAAACTAATCAGGCTAACAATTACCAATCTAAAAAAAATATTTATTTAAAACCTATGGGCTCTGAAAAAAATAGTGAGAACACTGCCGGACACTCCCAGCTTCTGAAATATATAAAATTTATCTATTGCCAAAATGTTCTCAGTCCTCCACAAAACACAGGACAGACAAGCGGTGCCTGTGTGGAAAAAAAAAAAGCTCCATCTAAATGAAAAGCATCCCTATTAATTGGAATAAAGACCTTTTAAACACCAGCATTTAGCATTTACGTCTTCCCTCCAACAAAAAAAACCAAAAAACTGGCAATTCCTTCCAGAAAAATTTACAATCAGTAGCACACTGGAATTCACAGCATTGCCATTAACTCTGACATCACTCCTACCAAGAAAACATTGATTAAGACATTTTTCTGAGCGAGATTATTGCATAGAGTGGGACAAGTGGGTGTTTTTCTCCTGTTCCATGAGACTCCAAGTCTCCCTTGCAACATTCCAGTCTGGTGCTGTCTGAACACCCACCACCAAGGACAGGAGAAATGCAAAAACTGCCCATGCAAACCAGCAGTCAAACCAAGGCAAATAACAAACAGCACATTCAAGAGCTCAAAGCCAGATGGAAAAGAATGGAAGGGATGGAATTGCTGAGTCTTGTCCATATAGGACCAGCATCTGAATAGCAGCAATGCCCTAAAACTGCCCTAAGGCTCTCCAGCACCAAGTCCTTTGGTTGGCAGATGCAGCACTGCCTGTGCATGATTTAAAGCATCACACAGCACATTAAAAAAATATATATATATAAATAAATCTCTTTTGATATATTTGTAAGTCACAATATGCTTATATAAGCCCAGTAAAAGGCAGGTCCTGCTGTGAGGAGCTGAAGGCAAGGCAGGAGTGTCACCCACAGGGAAAGGTCTCACCTGTATCCAGGAGATGGGAAAGGGAGATAAAAGGTGAACTCTACAAGTTCCACAGAAAAACTGGCAGAGCCAAGGGAAAGCCTGCCAAGAGATCTCCAATCCTTTCCACACAAACTATTCCCCCTTCACAGTTTAGGAATTGATTACATCTGCTGTCCTAGTCCTTCAAAACTGTTCCAATTTTAGGTTTTCTTTCCATTACTGCACAAATTCAGTAAAAAAAAAAAAAAAAGGATTTAAATGGATTTACTCTGAAGATCTAGTTTTTCAAGATAAGGAATTATAGAAATTGGGGAACCAATAGTTCCCAAAAGCCTCACTTTGCCCTCTGATAACTCAAAACTGCAGGTCCTCTCTGCACACAGACCTGACTTTCTCTCAAAGGACTGAGATTTCCCTCCCAGCAGCTGCAACTGGAAAAGATGGGATGTATGAGAACAGAAAGCCAGATGTCACCTCTCAGTAAACTATCAACTAGAAAAAAACACGTGGCAATCACTTCATCTCAAGTTTCTTCCAGAGGACATCTTCCACACCCTACAGAGAGTGGTGATGGCATCACTTTTTTGGGAATGTGGAAGGAAGCTTCACTGATTTCCTCATTTTCTGGCTCTAATTAGGGAGGACACAAGACCTGTTACTCTGTCTAGTAATCACAGGATACTCTAAGTAGTAGCCAAAACTTCAGCTCCAGATTGGTTTTGTAACAGTGATTTTCATCCAGGATTCTCTGGACAAGGTTGGTACCTCCCTTTACAAACTTGTTCATACCCAAGCTAATTATTCTTGGCTACCTGGGCTGACCTGCAATATAAGAGATGGCAATAACTCAAAGCAGTGGATTATCCTACAATGAATAAATAAATACAGCCCCATTCTCCTGAGGTAGATTTTCCTATCAGCGACAGGAAAACTGAAGGTTCCTCCTTCTACTTCAGCCTCTAAAAAGAAACCAAGTGCTGTCTGGTTCTAAAAGGAATTTAAGTGCATCCAAATAGTCCCTTGGCTTAGGCAGAGGAAACAATTTCCCTTTTACACTCCTTGAAAATGCTGTTTAATATCTCTTATTGGGAAAAAGGTTACACTCAAACAACCACTCTTCAAGGAGTTTTTCCATGTCTAAAGCAAAGCAGAGTTAACGTTGATTCATTTCAATTTCAGCCATAACCTTCAGTGTGGAAAGTCTTCCTTCCTTACACAGTTCTCAAGAGCAAAAGGACAAACAAGACATGAAGTCATGGATATGGGGAAAAAAAGAAGATAAAGAGTAAGAAGTAAAGATTTTAGAGCTAAGCTGAACAAGGGTTATGTTATTAGTACAAAATACTATTTCTTAAACAGCTTCATGTGATACTGCAAATAAAGGATGCAAGGCTGGGAAAAATCCACACAACAGGTTTCATCTGGAGAGGGTTTTGGTGGTTTTTACACTTTCCAAAAACTCTCAAGTTTTCTCCACTACTTTGGAGGCAACACCTTTCATCAAAGGGAAATGCCAGGGAATTTCTTTGGAGGGTAAAACCTGAACCTTTCCAAGCAGCTGGTACTGGATGGTTGTACCCAGGAATTCTGTGATCCGAAGTATCACAATTCCAGCCACACAAAAATCAAGGCTTCCTGGCACTTTTACTCTTTAAAACAACTTTAAGAAAAAGAAGCATCAACATGCTTAACAGAAAAAACAGGCTTAGCTGTCCCTCTGAACCCACCCAACTTAAATCTGAATTATTCTCACGCCAACTTGTCAGCTGGAACCTCTTGATTTTCAGTTTACATACAAAGCAGAAGTTTTGAGACTCTGATTCCCCTGGAATTTTTCTTAATAGAATTCTGGATATTGAAGCCAAGTTCACATTAGAGAGCCTGAGTTTTAAATTCCTTAAAACAATTACACAGTTAATTTAATCAAGCCAATGTTTAAAGGAAATGAAACATAAATATTTTGATCTTTACAATAAAACTGTTAAAAGGGAAAAATAAGAACTGTGGTCAAACAAAATCTATGGAGAAGAACAATACAAGGAAATTAATTCAACTGTGATTTTGAAGATTGCTGGTTAGTTAAAGATAATGAGGAGCTTTACTTCTCTTTTTGTATTCAAGATCTATTTTGAGATTTGGAGAAGCAGGTGGGATTTGAAAGACACATTTCCAGCTTATCACTGTAACTATCAACATCCTATCCACAAGCTTGAGATCCAACCCAAAACCCTCTGAAGATCCTCTCTGACAAAATGTGTGGGGATTTTTACTGAAACTTTATATTATGCAGCCATTATGAATGGTTTTGATTTGTTCATTCTGAAGAGCCTCAGCTTTTATTTCACATTAACTGACTACAGCTTCACTGGCTGCTTCTGATTCCCAGATTTAGTGAGTGGTGGGAGGGCAGGGCAAGTATCTGTGGCTGAGGAGTTGGACAGACAGCTCTGGACAGACAGCTCTGGATGAGGCAGCTCTGGATGAGGCAGCTCTGCATCATTTGTTGCAAAGCAAAAAGCAGATTTCTTCCCACCCTCCTAGAAATTAACCTGATCAAGGGGAGAACCTCTGGAGTTCCCCAGACCCAAGAAGTGAATTATCAGTGCTAATAAACAAAAAGGCTTCCGTTCTGCAAATAAACAGCAGGAGATGTTTAGGCTGCATTTGTTTACCAGGATTTGTCTTCTCAAGCTGGTACCATCTGTAAAATGCCCTTTTCTTCTGTTCACTCAGGTCCGACCCCTGCTGCAACAGCCAATGGGAGATCCGGCTCTGACTGATACCTGTGAAAAACCAGAACAGAACAAAAAAAGAGGGAAAGATATAAGTTCAACAAAAAAAAGAGAGAAAGAGGAAAGTTCTTCTTTACCAAACATTTTTAAATGGTTTATCTGCTGATAAAAGCTGGTGTCTTACAAAGCCCAGGAACTTGCGACGCTTCAATCCCAGAAAAAGCAGAGTTGAAGCTTCCCTGCTCTGTCCAAAACTGTCTGAATTTCTCCCTGGGTTATGTTCAACCTTACTCATGGAACACCCTGGAATCTGCATAATCAACCCCGAAGCAAAGAGTATAAAAACTGGGAAGCCAAAGCTATCATAGACATGAATTGTCCACAACTTCCCTGATTCCTAAACTTCATCTGTGAAATGGGAACAAGTCCCTTCCCCACTATTATGTATAAATAATGATTGTTAGGAAATCCTTATCATGCAATGCTTGAATAAGACTGGAGATAAACACAGAAAACAGTTTATGTGATATAGAACACATCAGCCCAGAAATGGAGCAAACCAACTGTCAGCAGCTGTAACAACGGCCAGAAAAAAAAAAACAGAAAGAGCAGCTTGTCTGTCAGCAAAGCAGGAGCCAAGCTCGAGGTACCCAGGCATGATCAGGGACAAAACACTGCAGTTTTAAAGCAAGAGTTCTATGAAAACAGTAAGAAGGGGGAAAAAATTCCTAGAAGTTAATACAGTTATTTCCAAGGGGTGACAGGGAATGCAGGATCAATGCAGTAAGGGCAAAAAAATGATCAGCAGAAGAACTAAATAAAACAAGAGGTTTAGAAGTGCATGAGGAGGTCAGCAATAAGTTCACCTGAAAAAGTAAAAAATGCAGTTTGCTGAGTAACTGAAGCACTACTTTAGAACTCCCTGTGCTTTCCACAAGGCTCTTCAGCCATCAGAACAAGTTAACAACATCCAAACTCTCCTGAGAAGTGAAGTTTTAGGAGGTGCTCCAAGTACCAGTACACTGCCAACACCACCTGTGCCACCACCTGCTTGGTGATATCACCCAGGCAGGTAGAGGCTGGTTTGCACACAGAACCAAAACTACCTCCCCCTCTAGAGATGCATCAAGTTTTTATAAGCTCTCATAATCAGATTTAACTCATGAAAAACAGCCCCCTGTAGTTTTACCACTTCTAAAGTGGGAGTTTATTATGGGTTTTTTTTGTGTGTTGAAGGTAGTTAACTTCAGAATGTCTCAACTTGACTCTCAGGTACCATATTCAGGTGGGTTTACACCAACCAGTTTTTTAAAATCACTGGGTTTGCACTCTTAATTGTTCTTCCTCAAACAGAATTCTGGAGGCTATGAAGTTTTAATTGTCCTGGGGGAAAGGGATGGGTGGGTTTTGTTTCAGATACAGCAGCTCACTGCTGCTCAGCAGAGCTGTGCCCACAAAACATATCCTGATTTTCCCAAAAACCCACTCCCAGTGATTGCCTTGCCCTCAAATGACAGAGTTCAGGAACAGTTGGGGTAGCCAAAAGCTGCCTACCCCCAGGGCCCACAGTGGGATCTAAAACTGAGTTTATACTACTGGGGAAGTGGAATTATTTGACCAAACACAACCCTCAGACCCTGCCAAGTTTACATCAAGTAACTGTGGAAGCACACAAGTTAATTCCAGAAGGCAGTGTAAGTTGATAACACTCTCTGGCCCAAAACAAGGCTCCAGCCTAATCGAAATCCTGCCATCTGCATGCCTGATCACCAGTGGAAAGTCCAAGTTTTAAAATTTGCAGCTCTTGACCTACTATGATTTATTAAAGCCATTTCTTGTCCTGACTGTGGGACACAAAGGTTTGTGTCTCACTGCTTTTGGCTGCCCTGCTCCCATTAATTAATCACTGGGTAACAGCTCCAGTCATTTACTTGTTTACTATGGTCCACTTACACTTACTGCAGTGAATTAGTGTGTGTTGGGTGTTTGGATAACAACCTAAGATATAAACACAAAGCACTGGTAGATATAAATTAGAGATTAAATGTCTGCCATGAGTGGAAAATCTGAGCCCTGCTCAAGAGGCTGCCTGACACTGTCACACGTGGCACAGATGTCACCACTCCAGACAATGTGCTCAAGGGCAAGGCACAGCAGCAGGAGCCAAAAAACTCAAGCTGGGTCTTGCCATGTCCACTTTCATGGAATCAGAGAAAAATTTGAGTTGGAAAGATCTTCAAAGGTCATCTAGTCCAACACCCCCTGCAACGAGCTGGGACATCTTCAACTGGATCACGTTGTTCAGAGCCCTGTCCAACCTGACCTTGAATGTTTCCAGGGACGGGGCAGACACCAACTTCCTGACCAACCTGTGCCATTTTCATTGTAAAAAGCTTCTTTCCACAAATTATGCACTGTCCCAATGTCCTGAACTGCATCAAAGTTCTCCCGAACAGAGCTGGATCTGAGCTGGGATCCTTCTGTGGCTGTCGTTTAGCCACAGCAGCTGAGCCTCTGACCTCACAGCTCATAAAGCTACTTCTGTAAAATATTTTTAAGGCATAAAATTTATCTGTACCTCAACAAGATTTACAGGCCCCAAAACCATATCTCAACAGCTTGACCAACCCAAGGTCACAGGCAAAGTCATTCAGCAAAATTCATCCAGGATCTCCCAGATGGCAGTGCTGTGGGATCCAAATCCATTCTTAACTCCTTTCATTGTTAAAAAAAACAAATCTCCCAAGTTGTCATGTCAGAGTTTCCTGCCTCTCAAGTGCGTTTCACACCACAGGACTCACAGGACAGTGACCCCCAGGACCCTCCTGTCACGTTGTCTCTAATCATAATCTGCTTTAAGGAATTGCACTGGCAGGAAAAAAGAAATCCTGCTGCCAGAAGCAATTGATGAAATAACTTCTCTGGAGTAGTGAAAATCCAGTTGTGCTGAAGAAATTCACTCTCCAAGTGAGGCAGGGATCTCAAGGAGGACTGTGGTGCTCCAGGCTCAGCTTCAGCAGGGCCAGGAACACATCAGGTTATGAACACCTCACAGAAAATCCTGAAGGAAAGTGGTATCCACAAAGGATTGCTGCACTTCAGATGCTGCCTGCTTGTGTCACACTCACTCCTTCCCACAGCAGGTCACACTTCCCAGTGATAAACAAACCAGTCTGTGCTCCCTCCCCCGGCCAGCCCTGCTGTCTCCTACACAACTGATTAGGGCAGAGTTTCTCACCCAAATACATAAAATAAATTGCAAAATACACCATCAAGAGAAGGCCACTGCTATGTGCAGCTCAAATCTGCTCATAGCCCTCAACTCTGCTATTCATCAAGTATGTGGGAACTGGTTTTCACCTTCACTAATAGATCTGTTCAGCAGCTCTGCTTTGCATTTCTTTAATGTTTCTTTCACAGAGGTTTTCAGAAGCACCTGGAATACGTCAGAGCTGGAGAAGAAAGTTAACTGACTGTGTTTTAATTCTTCACTTTGTAAGCAAAGTCCCAGATTCAGAGAACAAGTGCTTGCAAAGGACATCTATCAATTTAAGAGATTAACAAAGCTTGTTTACAGAAAACCTGCAAAGATCAAAATCATAAAAAACAAATCTCTGTGTTGTCATGAGTATTAAAAAAAAAAACAAAACAGGAAGGAAAATGTTTCTCAAAATGCAGTTTCATGCCATTTGAGATGATCAACAATTCAGGGATTTTCTGAATTCTCTTCACAGAGGAACTAGTTAAGTTTCCCTATGTATTGGCATTTGCTCAGTATCCCTGTGTGTGGGTTCCAAACCTGTGGGGATTTTATTTGTTCCAGCAGTGCTCCAAGGCTGCCCTCCACTGCACGTGTGTTTAGCATAATCTAAAGCCAAGTCTTGGAGATCTATCAATTAAGGCAGAGACAGGAGGACAGGGCTGGGTTGTACAAGTGGAATAATTGGGAAGGAACTGCACCCTGGAAAGCTCTCTGTGTATTTAAAAACAACTCAAAAAATGACTTCTGCATTTTACTGTTGATGGGTTTGGGGTTTTTTTTTAATGGTGGTTTGCTTTTTATGTTTTTAAGAACTGAGAAAAGTGAATTGAAATTTCTGCTCTGTAACTTCAGAGAAAATAAGGGTGTTTTTTTTATTCTTTCACTCCCTATGTGTAAAAAAACAGGAAAGGCAATATTTCCAAACCTTGCAGAGGCATCATCCATCAAACCACTTTAGCCCATCTGCAGAGGGCTCATCCCTGTGCTCTCCTCCCTCTCTCCTTCACTGTAGAACAGGAAGACATCAGTTCCTGAAAATATTTCTCCACCCTCCATCTAACTCTGGAAGCTCAGACAGCATCTCTGAGTGAAGCTCATATTTCTCTCTTCATCCTCTGCCTTCTGACCATAACCTGGTGCCCAAGTACAATTCTTGTGGCAATTGAAGCAAATTCCAACACACGACTTCAAACTGTATTTTGATAAAAATTTAGCAGCTCACCCGCCCCACATGGGGCTGAACCCCCAGCCCTGAGCAGGCTGCAGTGATGTTAAAAGGAGCTCCAAACACCAGGATAGGAAATTCTGCAGGAACTATTATTAGCTCCTGTTTATACTGTCATTTTTCTTATCAGTAGAAGATTATTTATACAGAGCCCAACCCAAGTGCTTCTTGTTTATCTTATTACAGACACCATTAAAAAAGTTTCTATAAAAAGCAGCTCCTGTTTTTAGGACCAGCACTAGTAAGTGTTATGCTAAGTTTTTGCTTCTTATCAATCATCCTTTATTTTCAAGTCACTTTTTTAATACCCTGTTACTATTTTCCAACTTGCCTTGTCCTCTCTGTACACCAGGCAGCCCTGTAGAATGTCTTCCAGGTTTAATTTTTCCTGTCAGATTCATTATCTAAATGACTTTCAGAGTTTCTGGTAATTTTATAAGGATTAAGAGAGCCTCAACATTCTTCTATGGCAACAGCTGACTTTAACCCTCAGCTCTGTGCTCCCCTCTCCTGCATCCTCCCTCTCCATCACTTGCCTCATGCTACAGCAGGAAAAACAAGAGGAAAAGCTGTTTACTGATGCAGAACTGCCCTGTAGGACTATGGATTCTGTAAGTGCTTTGCAAGGTTAGAATTAAGTGGGAAAAAGGAGAAACGTGTTTCTGAATTAAAGTGTAATTTGAAGAGTTAGCAAAATTAGGAGGTTAGCAAAATTATTAGCAAAATAATTAGCAAAATAAGCAAAAAGGAGGTTTCCAGAGGTCACAGTTGCAGTAGAGGTTTCTGCACCAAGGAGAGTACATGGCAAGTTACAGAATGGGATAAATAAGGTCATAAGGACAGGGGAAACAGAGAATTGGTAGAGGTTGTAAGAAAAAGTTGCCAGCAGAGGTAGCCAAGCCAAGCCACTCTCCTGGACAGAAACAGCCATAAATTTTTCATTTCTTTCTTGCCTCTTCCCAGGGCAGAAGGGATGAAGACTAGAAGCCAATTTTTCTACTTTCCTCTTGTACAAGTAACTTTTTTCAGAAAATCTTTATCAGTAAGACAAAGGGTGTAAATCCTGAGGTGATGCCATTTGGGATCATACACTCTGCAAAGCCTCTGCCTATAAAAACTGGTTTTCTACTGAACCAGAAGTGGTTTCCAGACATTCCTTGGGAGCCTCTTCTCCAGCTGAAAGGGATGTTGGAGGCATCTGAAGAATACTCCAAGTCATACAGCATTCATCAGGCTGAGACAGATCTGGAAGGGAGAGCCCTGGGATGCTCTGCTCCAGATCTCTGTCCCGAGCTGTTTCAGTCACCCCTCACCCCTCACAGCTTTTGAGAGGAAGATAATGTTTCTCCCTGCTAGAGCTGAGGAAACTCTTTAATCTGGTCCTTCCAAACCTCTTGGAGATTTACCATTTCCCTCAGATAAGCCATTACTTAGGAGTGGCATGTTAAGTGCTACACATCTGCTTACACAAGGCTGGGGGTTCATTTAAAATGAATCAGCTCCCACCAAGCACAGGGAGGATGACTGAGATGCAAAAATGTACTGTTTGCCCATGGATCTGGCTCGAAAACAAGATAATAACACAATGCCTTCAGCTCAGCCCTCATTCTGTCCCACTGACACCCTGTAGTATTTCTCTGGTCCCTCTGTGGATCCTCCTAGTGCTGCACAGGAGGGTTGAGTGGGAAGGGTGTGAAATCCAGTCAGCCGTGTCTCAAGTGGATGGTTGGTGTCATTTACTCACAGGAGGAAACAATGAGAGCTCCCAAAAGCTAAATGCCAACTTAGTGCCCACTGAAATCCAAGAGAACAGGCTCAGGATGGAAGGAGGAAAAGGATCAGGTGTGAAGAGATTGGTCTTGCCTTTCCTACAGCTTCTTGCAGGGTATCAAACACATGCATCAAGGGTTAATTATAATTAGATCCATTCCTTTCACTGACATCGACTTGGATCTGGTGTGGTGATTCTGATTCACTGACCCCACAACTGGCAGTCTCACTGACCAAAAAAAACTCAAACATTGGCTTTTTCTGGAAGGACTCCTTTGGTGCAGTTTTCCTCTCTTTGCACTCCTTGTCTTGCAGGGGAAGCCAGCCTGACTTGCTGGGTGCTATACAGAGGTTAATTCCTGGGTTCTTCCAGGACTATATTCAGGCAAGGAATGAACAAAAGCAGGAGAGTGACCCACTAACTACCAAAATTTAGGAGTTCAGGTACAATTTAAGCAGCTCAATTTACACATTAATTTTTGAAATATTAGTGCTAAGATCTGAAAAGGCCAATAATATCCCTTTCATTTAGACAAATTGTTAATCTCATGATTTTCCGGATGAAACTGAGACCAGGGAAGGACAAGTCATTTCACCCAGGATCACAGAAGAGTTGGAGACATGAAAAGAATTCCTGGCCCTGTGGCTCAAGCACCAGTTTGTGCTTGCTCACCTCAACAGCTGCCATGTCTGCAAACCCACAGCTCCCAGACAGGTGGATACCTATGACATTTCAAATCCTGGAAATATCATAAAAGAACAAATTTCCTCCTACTGCTTTGGTATTCCCAGACATCTAGGAACCTCAAAAATTATCTATTTCAAGATCTTTATCCAAGTTTGGGTTAAAAAGTTAACAAAACTTAGAGGTATAACATGGGATTGAGCTTTCTGAGTTTTATCACCAAGTCTTCATCCTAAAGGAAGGGCTGGAGTGAATCCAGGGCAGGGAACACGTCTGGGGAAGGGGCTGGAGCACCAGGAGGGGCTGAGGGAGCTGGAAAGGGGCTCAGCCTGGAGAAAAGGAGGCTCAGGGGGGACCTTCTGTTCTGCACAACTCCCTGACAGGGAACAAGGGACAGGATGAGAGGGAACGGCCTCAAGCTGCGCCAGGGCAGATTCAGGTTGGATATTGGGAACAATTCCTGCCTGGAAAGGCCTGTCCAGCCCTGGCACAGCTGCCCAGAGCAGGGGTGGAGTCCCCATCCCTGAAGCGATTTAAAAGCCATGTGTATGTGGCACCTGGGGACACAGATCAGTGGTGGCCTTGGCAGTGCTGGGAGAGTGATCAGACTCAATGGTCTTAGAGGACTTTTCCAGCCAAAATGATTGTGAGACTGTTCTAGGCAAGGCCTGTGTGCCTGGAAGGGAGAAATAGCAACACCTCACCCCATGGAGAAGCAAAAGGACTTTGTTACCCTCTGTAAAGCTCTGGGAACACACCCAGGGAAGAAGTGGCACCACTGCAGTGAGTTCACCTGTCTGGATGTGACAGAGAAGGCTCAGGGCACAGGGCACCCAGAAGTGCTGCTCCTTCCAGGTAAAACCTGAGCCAATCTGGTCATCCCTCAACCTCCCTTCAGATTTTCATTAATTTTGACTCAAAGGACGGATAAAACTTCCAACTCTCGTCCTCCAACTCCTGGCTGCAGTGGCACCAGCTACAGCTGTGTCTTCTGACTATTCATATACTTTTTAATATATAAATACACATTATCTCTCTTTCTCAATACCCAGAGATGCAGATCTGCATCTATTTGCCGCACTCAACAACAATTTAAGAATTAAGGAAAACCTTTTTCATTTTAAGATAAGAACTTCAGGCTTTATTATAATGCTGTAAAATAAAATCTGCCAGCACAAGCCACAGGGAAAAAAAAATTAAAAAAAATAAAAGTGATTCACTGGGGAAGTTCCATGATGTGCAGGACAATGGGTCTTAAATCAAAGGCATACATTATCATGACTAAGCTGACAGATCTGCACTGCAATGCAGAAAGCCAAGTGATAGTCCAACATCTGCATCATGCTCAGACAGGCAGTTCAGACACAGAGATCCCCAAAATGAGGAAAGGACTCCCCGAGCTCTTACCTGTTACCTGTGCAACAACTGCTTGGGAAATTCTCCGGTTGGCGAGGAAGGCTTTGATTTCCTCCTTTATCACACTGCTGTCCCTCCTACCAAAACAAAACAACAACAGGACACACAAAAAGAAGGACGGAACAAAGAACACCTGCAAGATGCAAAATGCCTATATTTATTTAGGGGACAAGGAGTGGGGAAGGTTGGCATTAAAACAGTCCAAGTGCCTCAGTGCTGGACACTTCTTTTAACAAGTGTCACGTTTGATCAAAGTACCATAGCAGGAGAATGGATGACTCATGTCCCATATAATTCATATTAGGTGCAGCACTGCCATATGGAATGTACAAAGTTTCATTACACAGGGATGAATAAATCTCTCATATCAGCATAAAAACCTCACTCATAAAAATGAGGCAGAAAAATAAAAAATAAAGGATAGCAGGGGCTGCATGGTTAGTTGCCCAAATGAATATGCATATACCAACCTCCTCTAGCATCCCAAGGAAAAGATCCAAAAAATTGCAGCCTCTGTCCTCACACCCCTCCTTTAGTCCCCTACGTAGTCCAGAGCTTGCACTGAATGAACTGAGGTTTTTGTATCATTTTTACAAGGTCTGCACAGGTAGTTCAGAAGGGGCTAAAACTGCTAAAAAGCAAATTAATCGGAGGTTGCACATGTACTGTGATACACGGCAAATTTCAATTGCAATAAGCACATGCCTTGCCCCTCCTCTTCCTCCCTCCCTTCCTGAGAAGGGCAGGCAATTAAAACCAGCCTTTATTAGGACTTAGGAGACATTTCCCTTCCCCTTCTCCCCTCCTGCCCCAGCTGCATTGAAGACAGATTCAAGCTCACAAATGTAAATGCAAAATGAATGTTGTGCTGTTGAGATAATTTTTATTTCTGTACCCAACACTCATCATCCACATGCCTGCAAACACAAGCAATTTCAGTTTAAATAAGCACTAAAAGCATTACCTGAGACTCACTGCACAGGAACCCAAACCTCAGCCATGGGAACTTGGCACTCTGCTGTACTCACCCCCTTCCTGCACAATTCCATCATCCTGCAGCCGACAGCAAATGAAGTTGATCGGCTTTTCTTACTGCTCATCTCTAATCCTCTCCCCCAAAAGCCACATCTTTCCCTGAAATCTCCAAACTACTTCCAACACATTTCCATTCTGGAGCTTATGGACTCCAGTCCTCCCACAGGTACCTCAGGAATGGTGCAGTTTTGGGGGGGAAAAAGAATAAATTCCAACATTACGACCAAAATTGTTTTGAGACATTTGGCCTTTCCTCTTATTTCTTTGTGCTCTCAAAGCCCACTGACTGACTTTCATCCTCAGGAGTATAATCCCCTCCTTTCATCTTTGTCATAATGCTGAAAAGAAAGCTGCTAAAAGTAAAGGAAGGTCAGCCCTGAAAAAAAAAAAAAAACACCCAATGGCTCTCAGAGAAAACTTCTGCTTCTTTATTATTTCTATTTTCCTGTAGCACTCTGCAAATCCCTGCCACAAACTATAAACAAACAACATGCATCCTCTCCAGATCCCACTGGAAAGCACTGACCAATCCAAGTTGGATTCCCTACTCTCCCTCTATATGGAAGGAATTACAATGGGTGTGAAATAGGGGAGGAGAAGTCATGTGAATTGATATTTAATCAGAATCCTGAATAAAAGTAGGGTGGAAGACAAGTGCTCTAACATCGACCCCAATTTTTGGTACAGCACTGGAAAAATTATCACAACAGTCAGGCTGTGGGACACTCAGACAGGGCCAGGGGCTGCCTCCACAGGGCAGGTGAGAGGTTCTAGGGTGATGACCCTTGGAGCATGGGCAGGAACAACTGCCTGGAGCAGCTCCTGCTCTCCTGATCACCACCAAATCCTCATGGAACAGTGTGGGTTGGAACTGACTCCAGGTCATTTAGTCCAAACCCACTGTGATATGCAGGGGTATCTTCAACTGGATCAGGTTGCTCAGAGCCCCATCCCACCTGACCTCGAATGTTTCCTGGGATGGGACATCCACCACCTCCCTGGACAACCTGTGCCAGCATTTTCCCACCCTACAATCCCTATCTGAGCAACCTTCCAACGCACCCATTCCTGCTGAGGCACTTCTCACCTCCACACTTCTTACAGCGACCTCCACTCACCTCATCAGCTCCTCCACTTTGTCGTCGATGTCCAAGTCCTCCTCGGAAGCCTCAAAGCTGTAGGACCTCTGGGCCAGGCTGTTGGCCAGGGGGTAGCGGGTGGGCGACATCTTCCCATTGAAGGCAGACAACCTCTCGTTACTCTCCCTCCCGTTCTGATTCGTAGTGCAAGGCTGTGGGGAGGTGTCGTAACTGTTGCTCGGGGACGGGGACATCCCGGAGTGCTGCGTCTGCGTGGAAGCCGTGGCCGTCGAGGAAGACGCCGGGACGTTGTTGGTGCTGTTGCCGTAGGAGCCGCCTCCGTAGCCAGACCTTCTCCCGAATTTGTCGCTATGCTCTTGGTCCAGACGGTCCAAGGTTTCCAGGGCGTGCAGGATCTCATGCCTGGTCATTCCCGTGCGTCTCAGGCGCTGCAGGAGGTCGATCTGCTCTATGGTGAATCTTGGCTCGTCTGTGTAGTGAGACATGGTTTCCAGCAGGCTGGAAATGAGGTAAAACACAAAATACTTCAGTTCAATAGTTCTACGTGGCACTGGAAAGTAGTTTATAAATTCTGGTGCAAAACTTTAAGACACACAAACGCACGGCAGCTCCAAAATCCACCTCCAAACAACCTCAGCCAGATACCTGCCATGAATGCCAATCTCACTACACAGCAGAAGGGTTCATTCTCCTTGCAGTGCTCCAACAGCATTTCAGACCTCTCCTGACATTCCCCACACCTGCACCAACCCTGCAGTTTGTCTTTTGTTCCTGATAAACCACTGCTACAGAGACTATGGTTGCTCAGTAATTAAGGCTGCAACTCGATCCCAGACAAAATTTTGCCCAGTGTTAAGTACCCACCAGACAGGAATCTCAGATTTCTGTGGTGGCCACAGTTCTGAGTTTTTTTTCAGACAAGTTTTCACCAGTTATGACATGAGACTGATGAATTTCAACTCTTTCAAATCTTAACTACAAAGAGTTTGAGTTGCCCTAACTTTTGTTGCTACCTTGAAAAAAAAAAGAAGATAAAAACACACCCAGCGGAAATTCTAGTGGCCTGTAGGACCCAAGTTGATTTGACTGAAGTTGGATTTCTGAAGTTAGGAACTTTTGAACCTGGAATGTTGTCACAGATTGCCTGCCCTGACATGGAAAGTGCAGCACATCCAATTACTCCTGAGCTTTCATTTAAAGAAATAAGTCTTCATCTTTTTCCCCTCCAAAGACTGGCTTCCCAGGTAACTCAACCATCCTGGTGGTTCAACAAAATAATTTTTAACTCTTAAACTTCCCAAGGTGCCACAACAATGAACATTATTTGCTGCAAAGCCCAGAAATGGAACTGAAAAAAATCACAGTATGCTCCCTTAATTGTGCTCCTTTCCTAAGTATCCTGGCTACAGATCCAAATGTCACACCAAAAACAAGATCTCCTCCTTCAGAACTCTAGATCTTGAGAAGAAGGGGTGGCAGATGGAGGAAAGGCAGAACTTGGCAAGCAGAATACGGCATTTTCCATCCTTCTTGGGAATCTTCTCGTGAGTCAAGGGTTTATTACCATTCCTGTAGGAGAGCAGGGTAAAGAGATCACTCAAACTCCAGGAGATGTGACAGAGCTGATGTACAACCCCTGCGAGCCAAAGCAAATCACAGCTGAGGGAAAGTCAAGGAAGAATTCCAAGGATCCTGTGAGAGCCAGGAGAGGGACGATGGCTGTGAGGCTGAGAGACCTTCCAGGGATAGGGCTGACTATTCCTCCCCACAGATTTTGAGGATGACTCCTCATGTCCACTTCTGCCCTGGCACAGAGAAGCTCCCAACAGGGCTCATGCAATGACTTGAGATTCATAGTTCTGGCTGAAGAACAAAACTGAGAACAAGTTTGTTGGAGTAGAACTGAAGCAGAGCTGTAAAGACAAAGCCAGGATGCACAAATCCACAAAAATGGCACTTGTAGCCTGGGAAATACAGAAATGAGAAGAAAATTTCATCTCTGCTCTCATCCAGCAACTACTGAGCTCCTGACATTGTTTTGTGGGAGAAGGAAGCAGGAGGACAATGCAAGGGGATGACTCCCATCCAAGAAAATGCCTGTGTGAGAAGACAGACGTTCTACATCCACATCAGTGCTCCAGCCCAACGGGAATGTGCTGTCCTCCAGAAAAGTGATTGCCGGAAACATCCAGGCCATTTAAAATTTTCCAAGACAAGCACCCAGACTGTTGAACCACAGGAGGGCACGGCAGGCAATGCAGCAGTCGACCTGCAACTGACTGGAATTGTAACAACCACAATTTGGAAGTGGCATCCCAGCCTGAGACCTTCGGAGCTTGACGGGGAGCATTTGGAAGCAGACGTTGTGTTCTAGATTTGGCCTCTGGGAGAGGAAGGGCTGCTCCATCCTCCTCTCCCAGCTTTGGGAGAAGTGTCACACGGATTTACTGATTCATCACAGCCAGCACCGAGCAGCACCGTTTTCAAACAGAAAATCTCTTTAAACATCGGGCCTTGAGGTGGTTTGCACTGGATATGCCAGCTCACCCTTCTCAGGGCAACACCTGGTTTGGGCATTTCTTACCAGTGTTTCTAATGTCACTGTTTCCCAGATCATTTATCTGTCAATACCAAGTTTCATGTGCTCAAGTTCTTTGTTTGAACTGGAGAATTTAATGAGCCACAGCCTCCAACCAGAATTGCCTCCACTCGAAATTCCTACTTTATAGACTCTTCAACATTTAATACTAAAACATACTTTAAATTATTTAATCATCCATCTATCACAGACACAAAAATCCAGAACTTTTGTCCTTGTAGCCCCGTGGACTAAAAAACTCCCATCTGACAAAAGCAAGACTTTCCAGATGGCTTCAAGAATGTCAAGCAACACAGAATCATGGAATTACAGAATGGTAATTGAAAGGGGATGTAAAATCATTTAGTTCCACCTCCTGCCATGGGCACAGACATTTTTTCACTATCCCAGGCTGTTCCAAGCCCTGTCCAGCCTGGCCTTGGGCACTGCCAGGGATGGAGCAGCCACAGCTTCTCTGGGCAGCCTGTCCCAGGGTGTGTTCCTACAGCAGTTGGTGGCCATGGCCAGCAATTCTCTCTAAAATTTGGGTGCCATTCCTAATTTGTCTGAAGTGCCAGGGCTCAGCCCCTGGCTCTGGGTGCCCAGGCCAAATTAATCTCCTTTAGTGAATTACACACAATGATTTGGTGAACCATAAGTATCCTTTAGTGAATTCCAGTTAACCAAGTGCAGAGCTCTCAGTTGCAGGGGCAGGGGCTGACCTCCCATCACTCGTGGCTGTACAAGGAAAGAGCTCCAGCCTCAATTTGTCCCTCTTTGACACAGCTGAGCTTGTGCAGGAATTTCAGTTCACAGGGATGCAAAGGCTGCTGGGCAAGGCCGTCCTCTGCCCCAGGAAGAAGATATTCAGTGACTTCCAACTTGCATTCCGGAGTCCTGTTCATCAGTGGACTTCAAAGCCTGGCAGAAACTAATGTAAGAGTAGCAAACCTAATGTCAAATTAACTCCATGATACTGTGTTTAACACAACCACTGGAAAAATGTGGACAACTTGAAAAAAAAACAAAACCAAAAAAAACAAACAAACAAACAAAAAAAAAACCAAAAAAAAACCAAAACAAAAAAAAAAAACTAAAATCAATTATCTGCTTGTCTGTCCATGCAAAGAATTTTTCCAGCCCTCCAAAACTTTTAAGGCAACTTCTGGGTAATTTTTAAGAGGTAAGAAAACTGAAATTAAGAGTATTTCCCTGCTGGTCTCACTAATGTTATACAGAGATGCCCAAAGTGCCTTGTTTATATTTGTACACTCAGCATACATTGCATTGACAGATCTCACTGGTCTTCTTGATCTGGAACTCCTGTTCCCATTTTCATGTGCTTTTCTACACAGCCATGAGATCTAGAAATAATGCTCCTGAGGGACTTTTATGATTGAAAACAGCTGCAGGAACTTGGAATTTTCCATTAAAACCCCAAAACAAATATTGCAAAATGTGGTATTATTGAACATGTTCCAACATTGCCAACTATCCACAAGTTTTTAATGAATAACTACAGCAAGCATTATTTTGAACTGTTACTCGTGCAGGGCTTTGGTTATTTTCCCTTTTTAAAATGTTTTAATAAACTTATTCTGTTTAAAGATCAATTTACAGAGCAGTTAATTACATCAACCATTTCAGAATCACCCTAATTTCATTCACCTCATTAATGAGTGAATATTCTCCACCACTTCATCCCCCCCACACTGCAGTAAGAGCCTCTTATCCTCCTGCACTCCTCTGGCTACCAGTAATTCAATTTATTTCCCCCTCTTTTTCCTTGTGAAATACAATCATCTGCAAAAGTAGCAAGGAATAAAATAAGACAGAGACAAGCAGAATGAATGAGGGGTATAGGAGAAAATCAAGATGGAAAATATTTTTCCTGAGAACAGGATTGTGGACTGACTTTGCTGTAGGCAAACTTTGCTGCCTGTATAGCAAAATATCCTCTACATCCCATGCTTTACCTGCTATCAATACTCTCACCACTGACAATGGGCTGTCAAATTTCCTTGGGGAGGCACCCAAAAAAGAGAGATAACCAAGGAAGAACAGTTGTGCATTTTTCTCTCTGAAATTTTGCAAGCAAAACCTCTGCAAATTTCTAATTAAGCTCAAAATTAAAAGTGACTGATTTTTTAACAACTAAATCTTGCCCTTTAAGACGAAGTTTCTTTAGGTTCGGGCAGAAAAAAATTAAGTAGCCTAAAAATCAGACTTATTTACATTCCTTACACTAAGCTGGCAATAATCTCCAAAAAGATGGTCCAACTGTACCATTCTAAAGCATTAAAATATCATGCTCATTTTCACGGCTCATCCAAAAGCAACCTGAGGTACCTGAATATCAGACTGAAGGGAAAACTCTAAGGAGGTAAATAAAAAGTAATTTATTTTCCAGCCCAGACCCGCAGATATAAAATATCCAGCAGGTCCCAACCAGCCCAATGCAGCACCACTCCTTCCCTTCCGAGGGGACTTGTGGAGTGGAGGCTGTTCAGGGGCTGCCCTCACCAGCACTGCCTGTCCTTCTCATTCCATCAAGATTTATTTAAACTCTTTTCTTTAAAATTAATTTCACCCTTTGGATGTGGGGCTCCCTCAGCAGTTTGACTCTTCTGATCTCCAGTGGGGATACATGGCCAGAGAGCACTCTTCCTTTATTTTCCTGCACTGTATAATGAAAAGTAAGGAAAACACATCAAGGATTTCTCACCTACTCTCATAGCCCAAACCCACGCTGATACAAGAATCATTTACCCAACACTTAACTTTCTAGGTGATGGAGCACAGCAGAATAATCCCATAAAAACAGCTACGAGCTAAGTCCATGTCCAATTGAACTCGCAGAAGTTCAAAGCAATTCAATTACCCGTTTGGGAATAAGGCCAGACAGCAGCCTTAACACCTC